TTACCTGACATAATTTACAATATGGTTCACGCACTATACATTAAGCACACACACACACACACACACACACACACACACACACACACACACACACACACACACACACACACACACCTGACCCTGGACATTATAGGCTACCAAATATTTATCAGGTGTCCAGAGAATTTTGAGCCTCGACTGCACACCTGACAAACACCACAGACTATTACGTTAGACCAAGACAACACGCGTCCTCCCGCTAATGAAGCAGGAGCGGCTGAGTCCGTGTTCTGATAAGGCAATTCCATTTCTGGCCAATTGGGTCTTCCTGAAATAATTGTCGAGCGGCTGAAATATGTCACTGGGAATCCGATTATTCGAGTCAGTCATCTGGGAGATTAGGGAACGTCTCTCTAACCCAATCATCTTATACCCGGTCGTTCTCAGAGGCGGACAGATGAAGGTAATACAACGTCGGGAAGGAAGATGCTAATACCAGGTGATGGGCAGGTGATGCTGAGAGATAATGGTGATGCTGAGAGATAGTGGTGATGCTGAGAGATAGTGGTGATGCTGGGAGATAATGGTGATGCTGGGAGATAATGGTGATGCTGGGAGATAGTGGTGATGCTGAGAGATAGTGGTGATGCTGAGAGATAGTGGTGATGCTGGGAGATAATGGTGATGCTGAGAGATAGTGGTGATGCTGAGAGATAGTGGTGATGCTGAGAGATAGTGGTGATGCTGAGAGATAGTGGTGATGCTGAGAGATAGTGGTGATGCTGAGAGATAGTTGTGATGCTGAGAGATAGTTGTGATGCTGGGAGATAGTTGTGATGCTGGGAGATAGTTGTGATGCTGGGAGATAGTAGTGATGCTCTCATCATCATCATCATCAACATCATCATCATCATCATCATCAACTATTATTCTACTACCAACAAAACACCTCTCTCTCAATATACATCACATACCCTGTATTATACACAAACAGTTAGCAAAAACAAACAAATAAAAACAAACACCCCCGGCATCAAAACAGCATCACCTCGTTATCAACATTAAACTGGCAACTACACAAACAAGCAGACAGACAGACAGACAGACACACACACACACACGTCAGAGAGTCACTGGGGCGGGGGATATTAACTTTATACGCGATACTCTGATACAATAATTGAACCTGTCGTTTGATTAATAGTGAGAGATCAGCTACTCAGATCAGCGGTTTATCTCGTGTTCTGATGGGTCTCTCTCTCTCTCTCTTTTTTCTCTCTCTCTCTCTCTCGCGATATTCACCAGTTCATGGCGTGCATGTTGCGTATTTGCGTATATACTCTATTGATTCGCTTGTCCGGAGCGTATAGATTGTGTATTTGCATATATACTCGATTAATTTACCTATCAGGGTGTATATTCTGCGTATATAGATTTATATTCACTTGTCCAGTGCATATAGGTTGCGTATTTCGTATGCACCTCATAAACTCGGCTGTCAGGTATATATATATATATATATATATATATATATATATATATATATATATATATATATATATATATATATATATATATATATATATATATATATATATATATATACAAGTAAATCACTGTAGTTGCGGGTGATCTAGGTATATGCTGATAACCACAAGGAAAGAAGAAAAACAAGTTCCCAAACGTTTGGAATTCACATCTAGGGGTGAGTACAGTCTTACTCACTTACCAAGATGTGAATATATAATAAATATTATATATATATATATATATATATATATATATATATATATATATATATATAGATAGATAGATAGATAGATAGATAGATAGCGTATACAATTCTATCAATTCACCTGTCAGGAGTGTGTAGATAGCGTATATACCACATAAATTCGCCTGTCAGAAACCAATAGCGTTAGACCACTTTAATCATGACCTGTTCAAAGCGTATATGTCACTTAATAATACCTGTCAAATGGGAATATATGCGCACGTGTTGACAATTGGACAGGTGTTGGCAGGGATTTAAAAGACTTAATCTGTGCAATTATCTTAATCCTTTGTTTAATTTACCTGTGATTCTGTGTTGATAATGTATACAGTGTATGAATGTTTGTGTGTAAAGGTGGCTGTTATTGTATTATTATTATTATTATTATTATTATTATTATTATTATTATTATTATTATTTATTATTATTATTATTATTATTATTATTATTATTATTATTATTATTATTATTATTATTATTATTATTATTATTATTATTATTATTATTATTATTATTATTATTATATTATCATTATTATTATTATTATTATTCGCATCTCTCACTTCCCCTGTTACTTTTATATCTCCTCTCTCTCATCTTTCTCACCCCTCACCTCTCTCACCCTCTCTCCCTTCTCTCTCTCGCCTCTCACTTTACCTCACTCTACGTCCCTCATCCTCCTTCACCCATCTCCCTTTCTCATCCCTCATCTTCTCTCTCACATACTTCACCCTCTCTCACTCCTCACCCCCTTATCCTACCCTCACACCTTCTCACCCCCTCCCTTGACACCACCCTCATGACACCCCCTCCCCTCCTACACCCCCTCACCCCCTCCTCTCTGTCAGCTCGACGTATCAGTTCTTTCGTTACTGTCTGGTCGAACCATTCCCGCTCCCCTAATTACTGGTGCACTTTTCTCTCTCTCTCTCTCTCTACTTATCAACCATTACCTATCCCCTTTCCTTCTTCACGCCTCCCTCCCCCTCTGCATCCTCCACCTCCCCCCTGCCTCCTCCCCTCCCTGCCTCCACCTCCCTCCCTGCCCCCTCCACCTCCCCTCGTGCCCCTCCACCTCCCCTCCGTGCCCTCCACCTCCCCCCGTGCCCCTCCTCCCCTCCCTGCCCCTCCGCCCATTAGTGACGCCAACTCGTACAGAAATAGGTGCTAAGAGGAGGTGGGTGGGGGTGGGGGTGGACCGGGTGGGGAAGACAAATGGGGGTGATGAACACACATGGTGGCAGAAGGTGACACACACATGGGGGGCGGTGTATATGTGTGTGTGTAGTTCATGTGCGCGTGTGTATGTATTTCCGGTGGGGAAAAGGGGAGTGTATGTATGTATGTATGTATGTATGTTTGTTTGTAGTATGTATGTATGTATGAGGGTTTTATGCATGTATACGTATTTCCGGATACAGTAGTTGAAATGACTAGAGGTGCGTGTGTGCATGGGTGAACAAATTTTCCATTGTGTTGTCTTACGTTGTCTCACCTTTTATATTTTAGATGACTCTATTATTATCATTATTATTATTATTATTTTTTTATTATTATTATTTTATTATTATTATTATTATTATTATTATTCTTTTATCATTATTATTATTATTATTATTATTATTATTATTATTAATATCATTATTATTATTATTTTATTATTATTATTATTATTATTATTATTATTATTATTATTATTATTATTATTATTATTATTATTATTATTATTATTATTATTATTATTATTATTATTATCATTATTATTTATCATTATTATTATTATTATTATTATTATTATTATTATTATTATTATATTATTATTATTTTATTATTATTATTTATTATTATTATTATTATTATTATTATTATTATTATTATTATTTTATTATTATTATTATTTTTATTATTATTATTATTATTATTATTATTATTATTATTATTATTATTATTATTATCATTATTATTATTATTATTATTATTATTATTATTATTATTATTTATTATTATTATTATTATTATCATTATTATTATTATTATTATTATTATTAATTTAAGTTTTATCATTTCATTATATCACAAGGGGGAAAGACAGACAGACAGACAGACACAGATGCCATGAGGTATGACTCAGAAGATTTCCACGGAACATTTAGAGCGGGAAAGAACGTGAGGTGAGGAGGGAGAGGAAGAAAATGAGGATAGAAGGTAGGGGTAAGGAGGAGGGAGGGAGGGAGGAAATGAGATGAAAGAGTGGGAAATAAGGAGGGAGGAGGAAGATAGGGATATAGAGGAAGGTAGGGGTGGGAGGGGAGGAGGAGGAGATAGGGAGGAAGAAGGAAGGTGAGAAGGATTGAGGCGTTGGGTTAGAGGTAGGATGGTAGGGATGGAAGTAGGGAAGGAGGAAGGGAAGGGGGAAGAAGAAAGGGAAGGAGGTAGGGGGTCTGCGGTTAGTGAGGGCTGCCTTGGTTCACTGATGTATCATGTTGACACTGTTTGACAAGTGGCCGTTCGGGGCCCCTTTCTTCTTTCTCTTTCGTTCTTTCTTTCTCTTTTTCTCTTTGAAAAAGGTGTAGTTAATAGGTAAGTTAAGTGAGAGAAAGTGAAGGACAGGTGGAAAAGAAGAGAGAGAAGGACGGGTGCAAAGACAAGTGAAAAAAAGTAACACAAGGAAACATAAAAATAGAAAAAGTATTAAAATAAAAAAATGAAAGACAAATTTAACAGAAAATGCAAAAGAGAAAAAGGAAAAAAATAGTGAAGCCGCAGGAGATGTTAGCCGAATCGTGTAGGGGGGGGGGGTTGCCTAAAGCGACCACAGTCCACAGTCCATAGTCCGCAGTTTTCCAGTCAGCACTCCACAGTTCATAGTCTATAGTTAACAGTTAACAGTCAACAGGCAACAGTCAACAGTCCACAGTTTACAGTCAACATTCCATAGTCAACAATCTATAGTCCACAGTTAGTTCACAGTCAACAGTCAACAAGCAACAGATAACAGTCAACAGTTTACAGTCAACACTCCATAGTCAACAATCTATAGTCCACAGTTAACAGTCCACAGTTAACAGTCCACAGTCAACAGTCCACAGTTTACAGTCAACACTCCATAGTCAACAATCTATAGTCCACAGTTAACAGTTCACAGTCAACAGTCAACAAGCAACAGATAACAGTCAACAGTTTACAGTCAACACTCCATAGTCAACAATCTATAGTCCACAGTTAACAGTTCACAGTCAACAGTCAACAAGCAACAGATAACAGTCAACAGTTTACAGTCAACACTCCATAGTCAACAATCTATAGTCCACAGTTAACAGTCCACAGTCAACAGTCTACAGTCAACAGTTTACAGTCAACACTCCATAGTCAACAATCTATAGTCCACAGTTAACAGTTCACAGTCAACAGTCAACAAGCAACAGTCCACAATCAACAGTCAACAATTAAAAAACGATTAAAACCCACTTCATTTATTTATAACAGTAGTGACAGAGGCGTAACAACGATAATTACGATAGACAGGACAAGGACAATAAAGATATGAATAACGAAGGTTGTAATGACCCTTGGCATGAACGACAGCTGTGGGAGAGCCATAACAACGCTAATAAAGATAGAGAACACAAGGGTAATAAAGATGGGTATAATGAACGTTAAAATAAGAGATATAAACAGTAATGTGACTAATATAAATGATGACGTGGCTTTAGTTTAGTCAGTAATATTGAAATTATAAAATGACATGAATAAATAATTGACAACTACCAGCACTACCACAACTACAACTATCGACAACTACCAGCACTACCACAACTACAACTATCGACAACTACCAGCACTACCACAACTACAACTATCGACAACTACCAGCACTACCACAACTACAACTATCGACAACTACCAGCACTACCACAACTACAACTATCGACAACTACCAGCACTACCACAACTACAACTATCGACAACTACTACTACCATGAATATCACCTGTACCAAGAATTACTACCATTACTACCCTCTCTACCACTACCACAACTACAACTATCGACAACTACTACTACCATGAATATCACCTGTACACTCAATCTCTACCACTACTACAACTACAACCATCGATAACTGCTACTACCACGAATATCACCTGTAACAAGAACCACTACCACTAATACCACTTCTACCACCACTACCAGTACCATCATCACCTACCCAACCACCACTACCACCATTAAGAAACACACACCGTACCCTCAAGACATAAAGCCCAGGGCCTCAAAAGAAGGACTCAGGTAGTCGTAAACAAGAATTAACAATAATTACTCAGAAATGAAACTTTGTGAACACGACGCGCCGACCACCAGGGGCCGAGCCAGGGGTGGTGGGGGGTCTGATAGCACTTGTGTGTGTGTCTTGCTAAACACAATCTTTACCGACATCTTAAATGGTTGGATTTTTATTTCCTGATTTGCTGTGTACTGCTTGATGTTGTTGTGGCCTGGGTGGGGGAGAAGGGGGAGGAGATGGGTAAGGTGGGGTGATGAGAAGTGGGAAGAGGGGGCACTGGGGGTGGAGAAGGGCAGGGGGCGAAGGAAGAGGGAAGATCGGAGGGAAGGAGGGAGGGATGGAGGTAGGGAAGGAGGTGGAAGGGTGGGGCGGTAGGGAGGGGAAGGGGGCAGGAGGGAGGGAGAAAGTGGTGAGTAGGGAGAATAGATGGGGAGGGAGGCAGGAAGTAGGTAAAGGGTAAGTAAGTGTTTGTAAACAAATCCTTGAGTTAGTGTTTGTGTGTACACGATCAGCGAGAGTGTTTGTATATTCGTTAATGGGGAGAGTATGTGTTTTGTTTAGGTTGGTTTGTGGGCGTGAGGACATACTAGAGCGTGGTAGTGGGCGTGTGGTCATACTTGAAGGCGTGGTAGTAGGCGTGTGGTCATACTTGAAGGCGTGGTAGTGGGCGTGTGGGTCATACTTGAAGGCGTGGTAGTGGGCGTGTGGGTCATACTTGAAGGCGTGGTAGTGGGCGTGTAGTCATACTAGAGGCGTGGTGTGAGCGTGTGGGTCCTACTTGAAGGCGTGGTAGTGGGCGTGTGGTCATACTAGAAGGCGTGGTAGTGAACGCGTGGGTCATCTTGAAGGCGTGGTAGTGGGCGTGGTCATACTTGAGGCTGGTAATGGGCGTGTGGTCGTTCTTGAAGGCGTGGTAATGGGCGTGTGGTCGTACTGAGGCGTCATAATGGGCGTGTGGTCATACTAGAAGGCGTGGTAGTGAGCGTGTGGGTCATGCTTGAAGGCGTGGTAGTGGGCGAGTGGTCATACTTGAAGGCGTGGTAGTAGGCGTGTGGGTCATACTTGAAGGCGTGGTAGTGAGCGTGTGGGTCATACTTGAAGGCGTGGTAGTGGGCGTGTGGTCATACTAGAAGGCGTGGTAATGGGCGTGTGGGTCATCTTGAAGGATGGTAGTGGTAGGCGTGTGGGTCATAGCGAAGGCGTGTGGTGGGCGTGTGGGTCATACTTGAAGGCGTGGTAGTGGGCGTGTGGTCATACTAGAAGGCGTGGTAGTGAGCGTGTGGGTCCTACTTGAAGGCGTGGTAGTGGGCGTGTGGTCATACTAGAGGCGTGGTAGTGAACGCGTGGGTCATACTTGAAGGCGTGGTAGTGGGCGTGTGGTAATACTTGAAGGCGTGGTAATGGGCGTGTGGTCGTTCTTGAAGGCGTGGTAATGGGCGTGTGGTCGTACTTGGAGGCGTCATAATGGGCGTGTGGTCATACTAGAAGGCGTGGTAGTGAGCGTGGGTCATACTGAAGGCGTGGTGTTGGGCGATGGGTCATACTTGAAGGCGTGGTAGTAGGCGTGTGGGTCATACTTGAAGGCGTGGTAGTGAGCGTGTGGGTCATACTTGAAGGACGTGGTAGTGGGCGTGTGGTCATACTAGAAGGCGTGGTAATGGGCGTGGGTCATACTTGAAGGGGTGGTAGTGGGCGTGTGGGTCATCTTGAAGGCGTGGTAGTGGGCGTTGGGTCATACTTGAAGGCGTGGTAGTGGGCGTGTGGTCATACTAGAAGGCGTGGTAGTGAGCGTGTGGGTCCCTACTTGAGGCGTGGTAGTGGGCGTGTGGTCATACTAGAAGGCGTGGTAGTGAACGCGTGGGTCATACTTGAAGGCGTGGTAGTGGGCGTGGTAATACTTGAAGGCGTGGTAATGTGTGGTCGTACTTGAAGGCGTGGTAATGGGCGTGTGGTCGTACTTGGAGGCGTCATAATGGGCGTGGTCATACTAGAAGGCGTGGTAGTGAGCGTGTGGGTCATGCTGAAGGCGTGGGCGGTGGTCATACTTGAAGGCGTGGTAGTAGGCGTGTGGGTCATACTTGAAGGCGTGGTAGTGAGCGTGTGGGTCATACGAAGGCGTGGTAGTGGGCGTGTGGTATTACTAGAAGGCGTGGTAATGGGCGTGTGGTTCGCGCCAGAGGGGTGGTAGTGGGCGTGTGGGTCATACTTGAAGGCGTGGTATGGGCGTGTGGGTCATGCTTGAAGGCGTGGTAGTGGGCGTGGTCATACTAGAGGCGTGGTAGTGAGCGTGTGGGTCCTACTTGAGCGTGGTAGTGGGCGTGTGGTCACACTAGAGGCGTGGTAGTGAACGCGTGGGTCATGCTTGAAGGCGTGGTAGTGGGCGTGTGGTAATACTTGAAGGCGTGGTAATGGGCGTGTGGTCGTACTTGAAGGCGTGGTAATGGGCGTGTGGTCATATGGGCGTGATAATGGGCGTGTGGTCATACTAAGGGGTGGTAGAGCGTGTGGGTCATACTTGAAGGCGTGGTAGTGGGCGTGGATATAATGGAAGCGTGGTAATGGCCGTGTGGTCATACTTGGAAGGCGTGGTAGTGGCGTGTGGTCGTACTTGATTGCGTGGTAATGGGCGTGTGGTCGTACTAGAGGTAGTGTTGGGCGTATGGTCATACTAGAGGCGTGGTAGTGAGCGTGTGGTCGTACTTGGAGGCGTGGTAGTGGGCGTGTGGATCATACTTGAAGGCGTGGTAATGGGCCGAATATATAGGGGAAAATAAAACGGCGTGATAAAGAGGAAGAAAGGGGAAGGAGGAAGGAGAATACATTGATAAAAAAGAAGGAATAAGGAAGAAAGGAAAGGGGAAAACATCAAGAAACAGGAATGGGAGACACAGATAGACAGACAGACAGACAAAAGAAAAGAAAAGACAGGAAGTATATAATGGGAAAAGGAAATAATCTGAGGAAAAAAGAAAAAATTACATGGGAGAGATGGAGGATAGAAATTGAGAGAGGAGGGAATGAGGGAAGGGAGTGGAGGTAGAGAGGAAGACGAAGCTGATGAGATAAGAGGAGACGTTAGAGATGGCAGGTAAGGATAGGGAGGAGGAGGGAGAAGAAGGTGAGGGAAGAGATGAGAGGAAGAAGAAAGCTGACGGGAGATAGAGGAGAGACTAAGAGATGACAAGTAAAGAGAGGGGGAGGGGGGAGAGATTGGGGAAGGGACGGGATGAGGAAACTGAGAAGTGGGGAAGTGAGGGGAGCGGTAGGGAATCTGGCCACAAGAGGTTAATCCTTTATGACTTTGATGTATACATAGTCAGTCAGACCACCTGGTGAGGATGGTGGTGGTGGTGGTGGTGCTGTGGTGGAGCTGTGGTGATGATGTGGTGGTGCTGTGGTGGTGCTGTGGTGGTGCTGTGGTGGTGATGGTGGTGTTGTGGTGGTGGTGTTGTGGTGGTGGTATGGTTGTGGTGTGGTGGTGATATGGTGGTGCTGTAGTGGTGGATGTTGTGGTGTTGTGGTGGTGCTGTGGTGGGCTGTGGTGGAGCTGTGGTGGTGATGTGGTGGTGCTGTGGTGGGCTGTGGTGGTGCTGTGGTGGTGATATGGTGGAGCTGTGGTGGTGATATGGTGGTACTATGGAGAATGTGTTGCGGTGGTGTTGTTGTAGTGAGTGAGTCTTATGGTGGTGTTGTGCCAGTGCTGTGTTGGTGTTGTGGTGGTGAAAGTGTAGTAGTTGTGTGTTTTGGTGCTATGGTGGAGATCTTTGTCTGTGTTGGTGTTGTAACAGAATAATGACAGAAGACATAAGTGGTGGGAGGGTGGTGTTGTGTGTGTGTGTGTGTGTGTGTGTGTGTGTGTGTGTGTGTGTGTGTGTGTGTGTGTGTGTGTGTGTGTGTGTGTGTGTGTGTGTGTGTGTGTGTCATGGTAGGGGTCAGGTTGGGTGGTCCATGTGTGTGTGTCTCTTGGTATTTCTGTCTTAAGATCACATCAAGCAGAGAGAGAAAAAAGAGACAGACAGAGAGATGGAGATAGAAAGATTGAGAGGGATTACTCCATCTCGAACTGGAGAGAGAGAGAGAGAGAGAGAGATTGATCATCTAAATCTAGACAGTAGTATAGACTATAGACGAAAGTTACACACACTGCCATCTCATCCTTGACTGGACTGAGGAGACGTGATGAAACCTGGGAGTGTTGTCTTAGCTCGATATGATTATTGTTACATGTAATAGATGGATTTTATGCTACTGAATATTAACATGTCAAAAGAGGAATGTCATGTCAGTGTTCTCTCTCTCTCTCTTCAGTTTGGGATGGGAGTAAATTGCCGCCTCCCGTCTCAATTCAGCCAACCTAACCACATTACCTTCCATTAACCTCCCAAGTAAACAAAATTATCCTCATCGTGTTAAAACTTTGCTCAAGGAAAGTATTAGAAGCCTCCCCCCCATAGTTGCTAAACTTTTGTGTTGTAAAGAAAATACATTATTGGTCTGGAGGAGAAAGTTTGTGTTGGTACAGTTTAAGTGAAGGATGGAGATGTACTGGTAGGATATGTGGGTATCGTAGGATGGCCTTGTAGTTGGTATCCTTCCCTAGCGGTACAGGAGGCTTTGAGTAAGGGATGGAGTTGGACTGGTAGGCTATTTGGGTCTTGTAGGATGGCCTTGTCGTTGGTATCCTTATATAAATGAAGGATGGAAGAGGTCTACTTGTAAGAAGACTGTGAGGATTTCACAGGATATCGTTGTTAGTAGTGAGGCATCAAAGACTTTAACTCGTAGGACTGCTGGCTTACACCTCCTCTCTCTCTCTCTCTCTCTCTCTCTCTCTCTCTCTCTCTTTCAGGACAATCTTACACAATTTGCATACAACACCCCAAACTTCCCACACCGGTGTCTCGTCTCTGACTTGATATTGCAGAGTCTAGATGTTTATGCGGGAGACATGATCCAATTTCCAGCAGTTTATATTTACTGAATGAGACCCTGTGTTCTAGTGTCGGTGGAAATGAGAAGAAGAGAGACAAACATAGGGACAGACAGACAGATAGAGGGAGAGATAGCGACCAAGGCAAAAATAAGAGATAAAGAGAGAGAGAGAGAGAGAGAGAGAGAGAGAGAAGAGAGAGAGAGACTTAATTAATTTACCTATATTAATGACAGAAATATAGTAATTAAATAGGTGTTTAAATATCATTCTCTGTGTGGGCATTCTTCCCTCTCTTCCGTTCTTCTTCTTCTTCTTCTTCTTCTATACGTATTTACTATGTTTTAACACTGCTTATGGTTTGTATTATTGTTTTAGATGTGTTTTATTGGTTTAAGGTAAGTTATGTCGTTGTTTTAATGAGGTGATGATGGATGATGATGATGATGATGATGATAATGATGATGATGATGATGATGATGATGATGATGATGATGATGATGGATGATGATGATGATGATGATGATGATGATGATGATGATGATGATGATGATGATGATGATGATGATGATGATGATGATGATGATGATGATGACGATGATGGTGATGATGATGTGTATCGGATCAACGAGAGTGTCTTGGGAAGGGGGAGGTCGAGGTGTACACAGCGAGGGGCCTCTTGGTGGCCCAGCTGTCCTCACCTGTTGGTTAGTGGTGGGTCTCTCTCTCTCTTTTCTCTCTCTCTCTCTCTCTTTAATGCTCTCTATCTCCCATTTTTCCTCTAGGAGTGCCATAAGCCCCATTCACCCCCTTATACCTCATCTCCCCTAGTAAATTAGCTTTACCTCCTCCCTCCCCTCCCCTCCATTACCCCCTCCATCACCCCCACTGCTTCACCACCCCTCATCACCCCCCTCCTTCACCCCTCTCCATCACCCCTCCTCCTTCACCCCTCCCCTCCATCACCCCCTCCATCACCCCCTCCCCCTCCATCACCCCCCCTCTCTCTATCACCTTAGAGTCAAGATAACGCGAACTTAAGTGATTTACAGCGGACCAATATTGGATGAACGCCAGAATAATTATGGCTGATAAACTTTAAGTTTCTCTATGTCTAAAGTTAGAGCTATTACGACCCAGGCTATCTATCTGTCTATCTATCTATCTATGTCGGTCTGTCTGTCTGTCTGTCTATCTATCTATCTATCTATCTATCTATCCATCTATGTCTGTCTGTCTGTCTGTTTGTCGTCTGTCTGTCTGTCTGTCTGTCTGTCTGTCTGTCAGTCTGTTTCTTGTCTGTCTGTCTGTCTGTTTGTCTGTCAGTCTGTCTGTCTGTCTGTCTCATCTGTCTGTCTGTCTGTCTGTCTATCTATCTATCTATCTATCTATCTATCTATCTATCTATCTATCTATCGAGGAACCTCTGAATTGTGAAGCTTTTATTAGAGGGTAACTAATCATTACAGTAACCCCTTTCTTCTTCTTCTTCTTTCCATTCACTCTCCCTTCCCCTCTCCCCTACCACCCCCA